ATATACCATAATTTGTTTGTCCATTTGTCTGTTGATGGGCACCTAGGCTGTTTCCATCTTTTTGCTATTGCGAACAATGCTGCAGTGAACATGGGCGTGCATATATCTATTCATGTGACAGCTCTTATTTCTCTAGGATATATTCCAAGGAGCAGGATAGCTGGACATATGGTACTTCTAATTTCTAGCTTTTTAAAGAAGGGCCAAATCTATTTCCAAAGTGGTTGTACCATTTTCCATTCCCACCAACAGTGTATAAGTGTCCCAGTCTCTCCACAACCTCTCCAGCATTTATTATTTTGTGTTTTTGCATTAATGCTAGCCTTGTTGGGGTGAGATGATATCTCATTGTAGTTTTGATCTGCATTTCTCTAATGGCTAATGATGGTGAGCATTTCTTCATGAGTCTGTTAGCCACCTGAATGTCTTCTTTGACGAAGTGCCTGTTCATATCCTTTGCCCAATTTCTAATTGGGTTATTTGTCTTTTTGTCGTTGAGGTTTTGCAGTATCTTGTAGAATTTAGAGATTAGACGCTGATTGGATTTGTTGTAGCCAAAATTTTTTTCCCAGTCTGTAGGCTGTTTTTTTACTCTTTCGGTGAAGACTTTTGATAAGCATAAGTGTTTGAGTTTTAGGAGCTCCTATTAATCTAGTCTCTCTTCTGGAGCTTGTGCGTTGTTACTTATGGTTTGTATTGTGTTTATGCCATGTATTAGGGCTCCTAGCTTTGTCCCTATTTTTTCTTCTATGATCTTTACCGTTTTCGATTTTATATTTAAGTCATTGATCCATTTTTTTTCTTTTTTTTTTAATTGTACTTCAGGTGAAGGCTTACAGAACAAATAGTTTCTGATGAAACAGTAGTACACATATTGTTTTATGACATTGGTTAACAACCCCACAACATGTTAACCCTTTAACTTCTCAACCTTTTAGTCTTTGATCCATTTTGAGTTAGTTTTTGTGCATGGTGTGAGGTATGGGTCTTCTTTCAGTTTTTTGCTGGTGGATATCCAGTTATGCCAGCACCATTTGTTAAAGAGACTGTCTTTTCCCCAATTAACAGACTTTGGGCCTTTGTCAAATATCAGTTGCTCACAGGTGGATGAATTTATGTCTGGATTCTCAACTCTCTTCCATTGGTCTATGTATCTGTTGTTGT